GGAGACATGATAGCAGTCTTCCAATATTTGAGGGGCTGCCACAGCGAGGAAGGGGTCAAGCTATTTTCTAAAGTGCCTGTAGGCCAGACAAGGAATAATGGATGGAAACTGAACAAGGAGAGATTCAACCTGGAAATAAGGAGAAACTTTCTGACAGTGAGAACAATCAACCAGTGGAACAGCTTGCCCTCGGAAGTTGTGGGAATGCCATCACTTGAGACTTTCAAGAAGAGATTGGACTGCCATTTGTCAGAAATGGTGTAGGGTCTCCCGCTTGGGCAGGAGGTTGGACTAGATGACCTACAAGGTCCCTTCCAACTCTGTTAATCTGTTAAAAGAGTGCTCAATCTCTGTCCACAGAGTTCAGCTGAAGGACTGCAGGCACAGAGAAATAATGTGAGGTAGAACAGAGGGGAGCAATTAATAACTAGGAAGTTCACCCCTTGACTAGTGCTGAAGAGACAGTCCTTGTCTTACTGTATGACCACAATTGACCCAAAATTTACGTTGCTAAGCAAGACATTTGTTAAGTGGGTTTTGCCCCAATTTACGCCCATTCTTGCCACAATTGTTAAATGAATCACTTCAGTTGTTAGGTCAGTTATATGGTTGTTAATTGAACCTGGCTTTTCCTATTGATTTTGCTTGTCAGAAGGTCTCAAAAAGTGATCACGTGACTCCGGGACATTGCCACTGTCATAAATATTAATCCGTTGCCAAGCATCTGAATTTTGATCAGAGACTATGGGGGATACTACAACAGCCGTAAGTGTGAAAAATGGCCATATCATTTTCTTCAGTGCTGTTGTGACTTCAAACGGTCTATCAACTAAAAAGATACTCCTTTGGTCTTTTTAGCAGCCAGAAAAAGGGAGTGGAGGGAAAACAAGGCATTTTTTAAATGCCTAGATAATCAACTCAGCAGCCCAAAAGTTGTCGGAGCATAAGAAAGTTATTGGAGAGCATGATGGATGACTCTTGTGGAGACTGATGTGTCCTATTGGAGAAGTCACATCCAGGGGCTGGGGGAAAGACCAGGATCAAGGGGGGAAATGTATGATGTGATTTAGTACCGGTTGCACCCAGCCACACACCCACATGGCAATTTCTAATAAACCAATTTACTTTTTCTAAAATGCAGCTAGAGACTTTTGCTTTGAATGAGGGGGATTTGTTGGATCCCTGACACGGTCACTAAATGTTGTAAGTCGAGGACTACCTATATAGGGATGTCGGCATCTGGAAGTAGGCAATGGAAGCTCCCTCAGTGTCCTTCGGCTATTTACACTTTTAGATCAACCTCCCTCACAGAGGAGTTGTGGAAAAAATGAGAGATGGGAGTGCTTTCTCTGTTGTCTGATGCTGGCAGGAAAGAAGGTGGATACTGTGCATATCTAAGTAATCCCAAAACAAAGTGCATGTCCAGGTTTAGAACCAGATAGAATACAAAAGGGGGAAAAAATGAGGTAAAGGGGCGAGGGAAGCAAGAATTGGAGCAGAGCGTTCCTACTGGAAAGGCCGGGGAAGCAAGCTGTGCCCTTTCTCTCTCAGAGGAATAAGGCCAGAATGATCTTTCCCCTTGTCATTATGTTCTTGGCATCTCTGGAGACAAGTGGCTCTTTTGTCCCGATGAAACATCAAGGAAGAGTCTCTTCTCCCTGCCCAACAGTCTCTTTTGTTTGTATCTGCAAAAACTCTTGCCTTTTTTTTTATTTAGGACAAAACGAAGAGTTTCACTGCTGAAATCTGGGTCACCTGAAGAGGGTGGGAAGGCAAGACTTCTGGACCATGCTGGTGCAGAGTGCAGTTTTTGCAAACTGCCACAAACATCCAACAGAGGCTGGGCTCACTCAGGGATGGCCATTATCCGTATTTCAAAAACCCTCCTTTCTCTTTTCCTCTGAGCTCTTTTGCAGCGGTCGGGTTTCTTTCCAGAAAGCAAAATTCTTTCCTGAATGAATTAACATGTTAACTGCAGTAGGGAATATTAGGAAAATATGTGAGGAGGTGGTGACCAAGCCAAAGAAACAACAGAAGTCTTAATAACTTAATAACTGCAGTGATTCACTTAACAGTTGTGGCAAGAAAAGTCGTGAACAGGGCAAAAGTCACTTAGATGTCTTGCTTAGCAACAGAAAATTGGGGCTTAATTATGGGCCGAAGTTGAGGACTACCAGTTATTCTATAAAATATATGTGTGTGTGTGTGTGTGCGTATATACGTACATACATACATACATATATATATACATATATAGTATTCAGCTTTGTTCGGGTATTTTCCCATGTCATTATAGTTATGCTTTTAAAGTTGTAGCGACGTAGTCATCAGGCTTCTGTATTATGTTCGTCTGTGAGTCAGACTTTCACAGCCGTTTAAGAAACTTAAGAAAACAAATTATATATATATATATTATAGATAATATATTTATATATGTGTTATTTATATATATGTTATTTATATATATGTTATATATATATATATATATATATATATATATAATATTTATATTATACATATATATTTATATATATATATGTGTGTGTTTTCTTAAGTTTTTGTGGGTACTTACATGTATGGTATTCAGCTTTATTCGGGTATTTTCCCATGTCATTATAGTTGTGCTTTTAAAGTTGTAGCAACGTTTCGGCAGAATCTCATCTGCCATCATCAGGCTTCTGTATTGTGTTCGTCTGTGAGTCAGACTTTTACAGTTGTTTCAGTTTTAAATTTGGGACTAGCCTACTGCTGTGCCAGAATGGTTTTTTCCTCATCCTGATTGGTTGGGAGTCTTGGTCTGTGTTTATTGGTCTTGGAGTTTGCTGTGTTCTGATTGATTGCTGTTTCCAATATCTTCTGTCTGTTTTGTAGCGTTTTTTTGTCTTGATTGGCTGGCAACATTGTGTTTCCTGTATTGGAGGTTTTTAGTGCAGCTTGGCTCCGAGTAAACGGACAGGTATCATTTATTAGGAAGCTAGGTTTCATCTGGGTGCCTGGTTGGGATGTGTTTGAGCTGGAGGTATGTGTGTGTGTGGGGGGGTGTCTGTTTGTGCCCAGGTGTTTGCTTGGCTTGTGGTGTGGAGATATTTTTGTTTGTAAGTGCAGGCTTCCAGATAATTGACAGTCTGGTGGAGTCATCTCTTCTATTCATGCTTTCAGGTATTTTTTCAATCTCTATGGCTTCTCTGATAATTCTGTAGCTGGGGTTTTCTATATTGGCTAGGGTGCTATTTGGTGCTATTGAAGTTGATGCTATGACCTGTGGCTTTCATGTGTTGGACTAGTGAGGAAGTGTGTTCCAGCTTTTTGACTGCATTTTTGTGTTCATCCATCTTCTATTGGTCTGTCCAATGTATGTGGCAGGGCATGATGCACAGGGGACTTTGTATATGCCTTGGTTTTCCAGGTCATTTTTATCTTTGGGGTTTCTTAGGATGGCTGCTATTTTTCTGTCTGTTTTGAAGGCAGTCTTGATGTGATGCCTGTGTAGTATCTTACTGATTTTGTCTGTAGTACCTCTTATGTAGGGCAGGACAGCTATTCCATGGGTCTGTTCATCTTCTAGGTCTCCATTATGTCTCAGTGTGTTTTTGTAGATCAAGCCGGTGATTTTGCTTTTGTGGAAGCCATTGGCTGTCAGTACTTTAGTCGGGGTGCATAGTTCAGTCTTTATGTGTGTCTTGTCTGCCAGGCGTTTGGTTCTGGCAATTAGTGTTTTGGCCACAGAGTTTATCTGTGCTGGGTGGTGGTGGGATTGGGTGTTGAGGTAGCGGTTGGTTTGTGCTTTCTTCTGGTATATGGTGTGTCCTATCATCAAGACAAAAAAAGTTACAAAACAGACAGAAGATATTAGAAACACCAATCAAGCAGAACACAGCAAACTCCAAGACCAATAAACACAGACCAAGACTCCCAACCAATCAGGATGAAGAAAAAAACATTCTGGCACAGCAGTAGGCTAGCACCAAATTTAAAACAGAAATGGCTGTGAAAGCCTGACTCACAGACGAACACAATACAGAAGCCTGATGATGGCAGATGAGATTCTGCCGAAATGTCGCTACAACTTTAAAAGCACAACTATAATGACATGGGAAAATACCCGAACAAAGCTGAATACCAAAATACAAAAACTTAAGAAAACAAATATATATATATATATATATATATATATATATATATATATACATACTTACATACACACATACACACACAAACACACACACAAATACATACATCATACATACATTATATACATATATATCTTTCCTACAGATATTATCCAGATGTATTCTATATACTAGAAATGCCTTACTGCTTGGGCCAAGTTTCTGAGATGGCCTCTCAAGCTTTAACTATAACATAGTAGTTCGCATAAGAGAAAGTCTGGAAACCGCTGGTGTAAATAATGTTTCCAAGCCTGAATTAAAATCAGACTTATGTTCAGGTGTTTACCAGAAGCTGATGAGTTTTTGCAATCAGACTTCATGTTTCTGAGTCACTGTTCTAGAACTGAATACCTTGAGCTCATAGAGACTTATTCACTGCAAATGGTAGAAGACCTGAATAGGTTTGTGTGGTAAAGCCTGTGTCTCTTTGATACAACCATGCCTATTGAAGAGAAGAAAGTATGCCCAGAGGAGAGACTTATTCAGAGGCACAAATAGATAATAGTCTTTTCTGGAGATGAGTAATTCTATTACTGTATTAGAAGCAATCCTATCAGATCCAGTAAAAGACAGACTGGCTGAAGAATTCTGGGAGTTGAAGTCCACAAGTCTGAAAGTTGCCAAGTTTGGGGACCTCTGTACTAGGACATAAGAGAAGATGAAAAGATCCATGAAAAGATTGTTCACAATTTGTCTTCTCTGAGAGCAGACAGATGCCACAGGAGGAAACCTATGTGCAGGGAAGGAAGATGATGGCCGTTTCCTGTAAGGATGCATATTTATTTGGAAGTTTGGCATATGGTTTGGCAGAGAAAGACCTGTCCTTTAATACTTTGCCAAATCTCTTTTAAAAGCCACAAATCTAGTCCCTTCACCTCTGCTTCTGATCCCCAATGTTTGAAATTAACATGAGTTTCTTTTCTGCATAGCATTTACTCATTTCAATACTTGTATAGAAAAACTTCCAGGGAACTGAGGAATACTCAGGAAAATTTTTTGTTTTTGCTAAGACATCTTGCTTTATGTTGCTATTCCTCTGCCTGTTATGACAGACTGCAGTGTCCTTTGAGGAAAGTACAGGCATTTCCAACAGCATGTTCAGCTATGTAAATGATTGGTGCTTCTGTGGTGCAGCTTTTAATCCAAAGATTTCCAGTGCAAAACAAACAGCGTAGAAGAATTAGTTAATCTTCTCCTAATTCAGGCCTGAATGTTGGTAACTTCATGGACAAGTCCATATTGTTTCCCCTGCAATAACATCAAGAAAGTAAATTTTCACTGCTTTCTACCATGATTTAAAAAAACAAAACCTTTCTAATCTAATCTACAGCTCTAACTTTCCCTGGTAATTTCCCATCCAAGTACTAACTAGGTCTGCCTCTATTTTGCTTTTAAAGATCAGTTAAGGTCAACTAGGTCTATCCACCTAGCTGAGGACAAGAAGTCACCTTACAAGCCACTAAAATTGGATATGCACATTGCCTTACTCTGTAATCTTTTGTTCTGGCAATGTGTCAATAGTGCACTGCACTGTCCCAGTTTTACAAAGTAGAAAAGGAGTCCTATTAATAGCCGTTGTCCTAGTTTCATATTCAGCAGGGTCTTTCTCTGTGCCCTAGATATATATTACTTCTGGCTCAGACCATTTCACCCCTAGAAAAGCTAACTGGTCCTCTAGGTGTACTAGAATATTAATAGTGGCTGGGAGAGAACAAAGAGGTCTTTTAGATTATTAAAAAAGTACTGTCCCTGTCAAAAATATATCAGGGAGCTATTTTTCTTTCTCTCCATAATGGCCTTTGTTTAATAAAATTGGAATTCCTGGCAAAAATTCACACAAAAAAAAATCATCGTTAATCTTGCCCGAAAAGACCAAAAGTGATTTTGTTTTGGAAACCTCAGGAAGAACCGAATGATATTCTAATGCTTGTCTCTTGAACATAAGGAGGATACAATTGTGGCAGTAACTCCCTCAGGTCTGTTAACTCAGTCACCTGTTTGTTAGATCTAGGCCCTTCTTTGTTGTGAAGGTTGCCTGGGAGATGACATGTAACAGGGTAATAATACCCTCTTTGTTGAGGGAGAGGGTGTTTCCCATTGACTTTGTCATTGAAGGAGGCAGTGCCACATCCCTGTTCCAGGAGCCTTGACTGGACTCACCTATACTGGACAATTTTCTAGTCTTCAACCTTCCTATTTTATGGAAGGTGGTTGAGAAGGTTGCTGGACTGCAGAAATAGGTGTTGGAGGATACTGATTAGGTAGAGTCCTTTCAGTCAGGTTTTTGGCCAAGATATTGTATTGAGAAAACATTGGTTGAGCTTATTACCGTAATGATTTTTGGCAGAGCCAGGAAGAAGTGCAATTATCCTGATTCTACGTGATCTCTCTGGCCTTCAACAACATCCAGCATATTCTTCTAGCCTGTTTGAGGGAATTAGGAGTGTGGACATCATGGTGTGGCAATGGTTCTCCTCCTTTCTCTATCATTAGGTTCAGGGTGGTATTGACAGAGAAGAAGCAATCAAGAAGAAGCACCTGACGGCAGGACAAGACACGATGGGTAGAAACTAATCAAGGGGAGAAGCAACCTAGAACTAAGGAGACATTTCCTGACAGTTAGAACAATTAAATCAGTGGAACAACTCGCCTCCAGAAGTTGTGAATGCTCCAACACCGGAAGCTTTTAAGAAGAGATTGGAGAGCAATTCGTCTGAAATGGTATAGGGTTTCCTGCCTAAGCAGGGGGTTGGACTAGAAGATCTCCAAGCTCCCTTCCAATTCTGTTATTCTATTCTATTCTATTCTATTCTATTCTATTCTATTCTATTCTATTCT